CAGCAGAAGCAGCCAGAGAATACGCACGAAGATTTCCAAACAAACGACATCCAACTCGCTCAGTATTTGTAAGAGTGCATCGCCAAATAATTGAAAATGGTTTTGGAAATCTCCAAAGGGATCAAAACATAAATGTTCGTCAGCGCAGATTTACCCGTATAATTCTGCGTGAGTTTGATAGAGATCCGACCACAAGTGTTAGGAGAGTTTCTGGTGCCTTGGGAATTTCAGCAAGCCATGTTCACCGTGTTCTTAGAAGTGACCATAGACGTCCTTACCATTTGCAACCTGTGCAAGGACTACAGCCAGGGGACGTAGAACGAAGAATTTAAGTAACGTTTTATGGACCGATGAGTCATGCTTCACTAGACGTGGAGTGGTAAATTTTCATAATCAACACATTTGGTTGCATGAAAATCCGCATGCAGTTCGGGAAAGAAATTTTCAGCATGAATTTAGTGTGAACGTGTGGATTCGTTTCTACCGTAATCGACTATTTTGCCTGCAAGGTTAAATGCTGCGACTTTCTTGGAATTTTTAAAGGCTGAACATGCAAACATGTGGGATGATGTTATGTTAGATTTAAGAAGATTGGCCTGGTTCCAGCTTGATGGTTGTCCAGCTCATTATTCGAGAATAGTTCGAAACTGGCTGGACGAAAATTATCCAGAAAGATGGATCGGCCGTGGAAGACCAGTCGCCTGGCCTCCACGATCCCCTGACCTAAATCCATTAGATTTCTTTGTGTGGGGATTTCTAAAAGAAAAAGTATACCAGACTCCCGTAACCACAAGAGATATGTTAATAGACAGAATCAGGAATGCATCTGATGAAATAAAGCCTTATTTGAATAATGCCAGACCACGTTCGATCATTCGTAGATGTGAATTGTGTATTGAACAATTGGGCTTACATTTCGAGCAACTACTTTAGATTTTGTATGTTTGTCCTAAATATCCAATAGCATTTTAGTTGTAAACAATTAATTTAATTTGTTAAAAATAGTATTGGGCAATTAAACAAATTAATATTCTGTTGTTTTGTGTTTATTTGGAGTTAGGAATTATTGCTGTGTTTAAAAACACAATCTAAACGATCATCTTAATTACTTCTTATGCCCAAATCGAAAATGTAAAAAAAATATTATTTTCCCATAAATAATTAAAAATGCATCGAACCTTAAAAATCGAAATATCTCAAAAACGACTAACTATAACGAAAATTCACACGAGAGCTTTTCTATGCAGAAAAGTGCGAAGATTGTTTTTTTATTCAAAAAGCAAAGAATTGCACTAAGAAAATTTTTTCGGTCATTTTAATACACTACAGGTACAGTAGAGAGCGCCCTCTAGCGGCTACAGTAAAAATATGCCCATGGTTCGTTTTGTCGTACCAAAAAACCCTTGTATACCAATTTTCACTGTTATACATCAAATATTGTTCGAAATATTTTAAAAAAACTATTTTAAAAAGTAAATTTAAACACCCTAAATTTCGGAAGCTAGCCTTCTTTCGACCATTATATGCATTAATTTGAAAAGTTCTATCGAATCTTAAAGTTATGCAACAATAAACTGAAACACCCTGTATGTTGAAGTGCTTTAAATGCGGTTCAAATGACCTTTATTCTACGTATTTTGGGTTGCCAATACCGAATCCGAAGTCGTTTTAAATGTATGTGATCCCGTTTATCATGTATTTATTTTATTTAGCGAACAATTGCAAATCTATGCGTTTTTTGCGACTTTAAGGTGATAAAAATGCATTTTTACTATCGATGGCTACATGAGAGCGAAACTTTGCACAATGAGGTAATTTGGGGCGCTGAATCTGAATATTATAATGTAAAAATTCTATGGTGTCATCGGACCGGATTTAGGGTGAAAAATTGACAACTGTTTTTCGAGGGCTAGCCGTAAGTCCTTAATCCTAATCCTTAATAAATGGATGACGGCGTTCCGTAGGAAGTTCAGAGTCAACCCACTTGACGCCATTTTCTTACAGCGATTGAAAATGCACGAGTGTTTAGATTATTCCAGAATTAAAGGTCATTCTTTATCCGAATATTCTATACCTCATAGAATCTTTAGCTACACATTAACTAGTTCTAAGTAATCAATCAATTTAATTATTCAACAGGATTTGGCAGTGTTGTCCAAAAATACGACCACTGAATTCTAAAAAAATTCCTCAAAACTTGATCTTACATTTACATCCTCGTAGGTGGTAGATGGTCTCAGACTGTCGAACACGGAGGTACCACCCGGCGGATCTCGTAGGCGGAGCCAGAATGTGTGGATGTTGCATGCACACGTGTTCCCTCGCCAGAATGTGTGTGTCGTACCCCCTTTCCCCTGTTTCCCCCTATAGCACCAGGATACTCCATGGGTATTAAGGCCTTAGGCCTTCGTGGTAGTTGGAGTATAAAAAAATCCTATATTTCCTTATACAGGTTTATCATAATATCATACGGAACCGTTAAAAGTATCAAAGACTGGGTTGTCTGCCCCATGACGCGAAGCTAAATGAAGTTAATAAAAAAACATTCTGCTTCCTGTCGAGATTTGTTGCGCGTGAAAGGGAGCGATGAAGCTCAAAGAAAAATTTACCAGGAAAAGTGATGAATGATTCACTTCCAAGTCATTAAATACCGATCTTCTTTGAAGTGGTGGCAAGGAGCTAAAAAGGCCTCTCTCTCCCTCTCTCCTCTCTTTATTTGCGTACAAGAAATGCTTCATCGAATAGAAGTTGTTGAAAATTAGGTTAAGAGTAAAAAGTCAAGGATAACATAGACCCCACAAAAATGTGTGTGTCATGGGGTTCCACCAAATTTTCCCATGTACTTTTTCACACAAATCTGAGGCAGACATAACTTTTTATTTTGTGCGCCTGTAATTTATGCTTTTTTACATATACTCATTTACAAGATGTAGAAAGGTGTTCTAAAAAATAGCGATATTGAATCTTATGGTGTTTTGGGTATCACACGATTTCGAAGAACAGGCGCCCGAAATCTTATTTAAATTATTTCAAGCATATTCCTACCACCTTTCATCATAAAAAATATGAAAGGTTCCGACCAAGTAGACGGGCAAGTTCATGTCTGTGGAATCAATGCTGTTTCAAGCTGCCCCAACGAACAATTATGTTTTATAAATGGCCTAACAATGTTTACAGAAGTATAGTAATGATGAATCTATAAACTTCCTATCAATGTGTCATTATACAACGCTCATAAACCCAAAAAGGGCGTGCTCTTGTGCAGCAGTTTTCATCTTTAGTTCGTATTAAGATGGCTCCCACAGATTTTACCGGAAAAATAATAAAAAACATAGTATGCAACACTTATAAACCTATTGAAAATAGTTATAGAGCGAAATATTATTTTATTATTATGGCAACTATACCAATAAAATCATTTTCTGAGAACTCATCTAAACTATGGAAAGTTTTGGTTAGTAGATACTTTTTTTAGTCTTTTTGAAAGTCCTATTTTTAAGATTCCTATAAAACTGAGATACATTAGGTCTATTGAATAAAAAACAGGATTGCCTTAGATAGAAAATTTTAAAAGGGTAAGTTGATACTTGAGCACAAGGTATTTCTGATTTTCATTTGAATGAATTTATTCTCAAAAGTTAGTACTGGAAAAATCTCCTACATTTAAGTTTTTTCTTTTAAATCTTTACTTATTCCTCATGATAATTATAAGTGGATTTCGGTCTGAAAGTCTGTATATTTTTGATACGGTGTGTATAATATTAGTTGTCGATCAAGATTTAGAGGTATTGCTATAATCATGTCGTCGAGTGAGGAAGAATTACCTGTCCAGACTAGATGTCAGAAACTTATATTCGCCAGACTTATTAAAAAATCATAGAGATATTTTGATTAAATCATTGATTCCGTCGATTGTTCAAGCTAAAGAAAAGGCATGGACGGATATCAAAGACGAATTTGTCAAGACTTCTGGTACAAGCATTACCATTGAGAAATTAAAAAAATCCTCAATCCACAGAAGTAAAGAAAAAAAAACGATAAAAATAAGAGTTGGAAATACTGAATTATGTTCGTAAAAGTTCCTGGGGTTGTTCCATTAGAAGTAACAACGGAAAAACAGATACTCCCGAAAATAATGGATCAACTAGTATGAGTTCACAGTTACCTCCTTTACCTACAGAAACGCTAGACAAGAGTCCAAGGCAGAAAAAATTCAAGCAACAAACTGAAGAAACCGAAAACTTGTCAACACAAGAGTTACAACGGCTAGTTCTACTTGAACAATTAAATGTTGCTAGACTTCAGGCGAAAAGAGAACAGCTCATGACAGAAAAACTGACATATGCTGTGCCAAACCCTTATCCTACAAATAGTTCTGAGAAAGAAGAAGATACTGGCGGTATTATGAATAAGTTACGACAATTCATAGATTTGTAATATACAAATATATAGGTATTTTATTCACATTTCAACAATTTTTTTTTTGATTTTGTATTCAAAGATTCATCAAATTAAACACTACAACTACATAAAATTGTTACTTATTCAATATTATCATGAATAAAGCACATTTTGCTGGCAATGATTCTTTATTTGAGGGTAGAAAATAGACAATTTTATGAAGATCTATTGAATACTAATGTTCATTAGAAGCTAAATTCTGTATGCTTTTTATCATTATTTCGTTATTATTTACCTCAATATTTATATTTTTGTATTGGCACTTAGCACATAATATTTATATTTTTGTAATGGCACTTAGCACAATCTATGATTTTGTAACTGTTGTAATTTTTTCTTTTTATAAAAAGTTTCCGAAAATATCAAGTACACAGAAAAATACTTGAATAAACCTATACTTAAATTTTCAGAGAGTTTTTTTTAATATATTGTTCAACTCAAAATAATAACTTTGGCACTTAGCACATTATTTACTTCGTCTTCATATGAAAAACATTTAAACAATTTCTACCATGAAAGAGAACAAAAAATAGACTCACCTGCACTTCTAAAGCATGGTAGGCCACAATTAGACCTAAGAGGATCACAGTCGAAACAGATATCAAAGTTTTGAGCGCAATTGAATAAAATTCGTCCTGGAATAAAAAAATATATGGTTAGAGCAAGGATAGAAAATAATCTACATTCAAGGGTAGATTGAAAGACACTTACTCCCAATTTAACTATTGCATCTAAAATATTGATCCAGAACAATGAGAAGGCGTCTTTCTAGTAATGAATAAAATGAATATAGTCGATTTCTTCTAAAATAGCTGCCATTATGAAAGATGTTCTCAAAAAAATCTATACGGTTCAAAAACATAACTGCTAATAATATTTCAGTAAAAGTAATAACTATGGTATAGAAATTTGTATAAGAAGCGTTGCTTCAAAATTCACTGTCCGAAACTTGACATACTTTAGTTGCAATCATGTTTTACTGATGATAGTCAATCTACCCTTAGATAAAATATATATATACAGGGTGTAAACGTTATGATAGTCATTATTTAAATGAGTGATAGAGGGGGTTAAAGGAAGCAAAAAGTTTCATCTAACATGGGGGTCAAAACGGCATTTTTTTAGAGAAAAGCGACTTTAAAGTAAAATAAAAACTGACGACGCCGCAATTCCAGACGCAAATTACGATGGAACGCAGTATAAATAAAGATGGAGTTTGTTATTTTTGGCTCTTAGGTATTATTTCATTATTTGATAATGTACTCGTAAAATGCAAACAATTAAAAAAAACGGACTTACCACTAACTGTCTCAGCGCTTCACCTGGTGTGTGAAAGTTTATTGAACGTATTAACAAGATCCACTTATAAATAGGGAACACAATTTTGAAACATATATTGTTTTTCTTTTTAGAACCCACACTGCACTTTTTTGTATCTAAAGAAGGTGTTCAACATGTCGTCCTCCACTTTCCACACAAGCTTCATTACGACGAACCCAGTTTCCTCTAACTCTAGGTCCTCGAAGTTGTCCATTTATTATTTCAGCCGCATTAAAAATGTTTTCGACGTACGCGAACAAAAACAAAACAACATACTAACCACTGTTACCGTTTGCGATCGATTGCCGGTTTGATAATAGTGATGATGACCGACGCGATGTTGTCATGTGTGTTTTAAATATTCAATTTCATGAAACTTACTTACTACTGGCTATAAATTTTGGCTTAATGCCATTTATTTGCTAATTACCCAATTTAAAAACGTTTTAGATTAGATTATAAAAGTAATAAGATTGTGGTGATTGTGGTCGATATAAAGCATTTAAAGTTGTAAACTATAAAGCCATTTAGACAAAAATTTATTGACTTTTGGACCATGAGTCATATGAACTTTTTGACTTGTTCTGACCCCCCTGTTACTCATTTCAATAATGACTACCATAACGTTTACACCCTGTATATATGTATGTTATAAAAAATTGTGCTTACTTTGCGATATACTCCCGCACTTGAAAGTTCGTTTTCTATCACCATAACAATAATTCCAAACATTCCCATAACTAAGGCATAGTCACTTATCCGTTTTCTTTTTTCGAATAAGGCTTTACGTCTTCCCAGTCTATACCTGTAACAAACAAAAAAGTATTAAAACCTACACTTTCGTTCAAAAGTGTTTGAACACCTGCATATTTCCATTTAAAATCATAACAAATAAAAAAGAATATTCAGAACGTATTTATTTTTTTTATTTATTGAAAACCATCACTATGGAAATCAAGCATCACTAAAGATCATTGAAATCAAAATTTTGCTCATTGGGATCTCATCATTAGCCACAATAGGAATTTCTTTGCTTGTAGAATATGGTTATGTTTTTGGATAGAAATTGAACAGTATAAGTTCTAAAGGGTCTAAGTGCCACAAAACAAATATTTTCAATCATTCATGTGAAAAGGGTCTGTGTGCCATGCCTAATAATATTGCAAAGGTAGTAAGTGCCAGCGATTCATTCTGGTGTTTATTTTTTCTGAATAGATGGCGGTCCCTGCAAGTGCCAACATACATTTTATTAATAAACGGTCTATGTGTCAAAGCTACGAAGCAGATTTGGTTTCCTGACAGTGTTGTTCTGTTGTGTCATTTCCATGTTTTAACTGAAAATGAACGAAAAAGAAAGGAAAACGGTTCAGAAAGTGTGAAGAAGGAACAGAAACGGCTTAGAGTACAAAACTTATCGAGGTGATATAAAACCTGCAAAAAAGCCTAATAAGGCACATAGACCCTTTTCAGAATTGCATAATGAAACACTTAGATTTTTTTGCCATTTTCAGTTTTTAATATTGTTTAGTTTAATACTTTAAACTTCTTTTTCTCAAGGGTCTTACATGATTTGTCTTAAAAAATATATTTAGAGCTAAAATATCGTTTACTTCTTATTCAGATGGTTTTATTTGATTATTTCGGTTCCATGTTTTTGGCACTTAGACCCTTTAGAACTTACATTCTTCAATTCTTTCTCACGATTTGTTTTTCGATTATGTATTTTAATTAGTGTTGTACGTAAACCCATAACACAGTTTTACTTCAGTTATCTTGTCTCATTTGATAAACTAGCCGTGCTTTAATACCTTATAGTTCAAGATTGTTCAACAAATGGGTAGAACTAAAGGATATTCAGAGGAGATAAAAGGAGTTATTATTGGTGTTCATAAATCCGGCAAAAGTATTCGAGAAATTTCTAAACTTCAGAAGTATCACAACATCCAATAGCCGTCCTTCAGAGAGACACAAAGTTACAACTTCTACTGAAGACTTAAGTAGGGATGTTCGATACGATCCGATATTTAGAAGTATCGATACTTTTGTCTCCTACACCCGATATTTTGGATCGATATTTTCATATACGATACTTCGTTACCTTTCGATCCGAACTGTGTCAGAAAGAGTGACTAACGTCAATTTACTTTCCTTCTTTAGGCAATTTTTTTTTGATCAGAGGTTCTGGTTGACCTTGAGTGACAGAAATCACACAAATGCCAGAGATCAATGCATACAGAGTTGCCAGAGCGTGACGACGGATTTTCATACATAGTGGAAATTGGCCATTACGATTTGCCAAAATGAGCAATCCAAAAGGAAAACTGCTCTCAAATAAAAACTGAAAGAAAAAAAATCCCTTTTTCACCATTTGTGTCAAAATTATCTATTTTCCATGGTCTGTCATAGTCAGTTTCTTCTTCGAATTTCTATGACGTTTCTGTTTCCTGTGGCAATTCAGTTTCAATTTACCGCTCTCATTAGTGTCATATGTCTGTTACATATTTCAAACAGAGTGTTGCAGCATTCAGATCAGTTAAGAAAAATGCAACAGCATCAAAACGCCCTTAGACTAATTCAATCGGTGCCAACCAGATGGAATTCAAAATATGTTTAGCCATGAATATGTGGCTGCTATTTTAATAAGAAATCCCAAGTCTCCAGAAATGTTAAGTGCTTTACAATTGGAAACTGTTAAAAGAGGTTTTAAATATTTTAGCCCCAGTAGAGGCAGTTTCTAGAGAGATGTGTGGGGAGAAACATTTAACCTGCAGTAAAGTTATACTCATCGTAAATTGCCTCTTGAAAAAAATGAAAATTTTGCTCCATCAACAACAGAGCTCTTAAAACACTAACACTCCAGGAACTTTTAAAACGTTTTGGGAGCATCGAGCAGATTCAACTTTTAGCTGTCCCAAATAACCTAGACCCCTCGTTTTAAACGATTGCACTTCAACAGTCCAATTTCTTGTGCTAATGCAGTCACCTTCCTGAATCAATCATTTCAGTTGCGCAAGAAAGAAATAAATACAGCAAAGGCAGGGCAAAATCAAATTAATATTCTTGAAAAATCTGACAGTGTTTGGGTCTACCATGAATAACTAGCCCAAAATACAGATAAATATGATGATACCAAATCAGATATTGATCTTGAGCTAAAACTGTATTTCAATAGACCTACTATGCCCCTAAACCTCGGATCCCTTTTTGTACTGGAATAGCTCAAGTTCTTCCTCAGAGGTAGTTTAAAGAACAGGCTAATAAATATCTCTCTGTTGTTGGCACATCAGTTCCCTCAGGGAGACTCTTTTCTGAAGCCGGAAATATACTCTGCCAATCCCGAAACAGATTATCTGGTGATCGAATGTCAAATTATTCTTACATTTGCTGAGTGCTGAAGAATGGTATTTTTAATATACTACGTGACATATAAATCCGAACACCCAGTTTAAATGGTTTTATTCTAATAAAAATTTGTATAAGTACTTAATGAAGCATAATAAGTAAATGATAAAAATTTCAAAATGATTGCACTGCTTTAAAGCCCTTTGACCTTTAATAATGTGTGGATGCACCCTGATGTGCTACGCATTCTCCAACGCGCCTAGGCATGCTTCTGATCAGGTGGTCAATGTCCTCCTGTGGTATCTCATTCCAGACAACCACCAACTCCTCTCGAAGTGCTTCTAGAGTCTGACGAGGACGTTGCAAATTGAGCAATCTCCTACCCATCATATCCCACACGTGGTCAATTGGGGATAAGTCGGGAGATCTTGGTGGCCATGGTAACAATGTGACATCATTATGTTGAAAGAAGTCTATTGTGACTCTTGCAACATGTGGTCGGGCATTATCTTGTTGGAAAGTTGGATCTGCCAGGGTGTCAAGAAAGGGTAAAAGATGGGGTTCTAGAACTTCGTGGATATAACGCTGCGCGTTCATGTTACCTCTGATGAATATTAAAGGTGACCTGGAACCATAAGCTATAGCACCCCAAACCATAACTCCAACAGTGTGATGAACATGTCTTTCAACAAAAAACTGTGGATTCTCCTTTCACCACGTCGCCTTCTAACCCTGACACGACCATCGTGCATGCCTAAACAAAATCGAGACTCGTCACTAAAGACTATACTGTTCCATTCCTGATCCCAGAGTGACCGTTGTCTGCACCACTCAAGGCGATTACGTCGGTGTTCTCGAGTTAAAGGGAGGACCCAGTGTGGCCGGAATGAAAACAAGCCAAAACCTCTCATTCGTCGGTAAACACTTCGCATGCCAATAGGTCTTCCGTGTTCTGCAAACCATTCATTTGCAATGGACCTGGTAGTGGAGAAACGGTCCCTTAAGGCCAATAATCTTAGGCGGCGATCTCCACGGTCTGTTGTTCTACGGCGGCGTCTAGTGCCCCTTGCTCTTTGCGTACGGCTTTCTCGAAGCCATGCCTGACAACACCTAACCACAGTGTCTACACTTCTTTGCACTCTAACTGCAATTGCCCGAAAAGAAAGTCCAGCTTCCCGAAGTCCCACTATACGGCCCCTATCAAACTCACTAAGTTGACGAAATCGTACAGGTCTCCGTACTCTAGGCATCGTAACCGATCGTAAAGGATGTCAAGCACCAAAATCGGCCAACGTTGATTCTTTACTGCGGCTGAAATATTCATTTTTAGAGCGTTAGTGAATTAAAAAAAAGCAGTATAAAAACCGGAATGTCCAACTGATAAGGCTGAAAATTTTTTCACTTGTTATTTACAGTAAGATAAATACATTCACCAACTTTTATTAAAATAAAACCATTTAAACTGGGTGTTCGGATTTATATGTCACTTAGTATATTTTGAACTTCGAGTTATTTGTAGTATTGTTTTTAATACCCTATGTTTATATATTTTATGCTAATAATAAATAAATAATCGTTTTGTAATGAATTTCTTAGTATTTATTTTTTTACCTATTTTTTTGTGAACTTATTTGGCAATCGTCATGCAGTTGAAAAAAGTGACGTTATTTAGAGGGTTGTAAAAAAGGCAACTTCGATTTTCGGCAGTGTATAGGGTATGCGCCGTATCGAAAGGTATCGATACTCATGGGATCGATATTTTTATTCCGATATTTCAATGGATCGATACTCCACTAAACGATACGAATCGATACTTGGTATCGATATTTTACGTGGATCGGAACATCCCTAGACTTAAGCATAATAGTGAAAAGTAAACGAAACCGCTCCTCAGCAGAGATGAGACTGAATTGGGCAAACAACATCAAAATGGGACACTTGCTGACTGGAAGAAGACCCTTTGGAGCGATGAATCGAAATGCGAAGTTTTTGGTTCCAAGAGTTATTTGTCTGCAGTCGGCCTAACGAGGGGGCATTAGAATCATGCACCGTCGGATCAGTCAAGCACGGTGATATAATGATTTGGGGCTATTTTGGTGGTTCTGCTGTGGGGGATATTCTGAGAGTACAGAGAATACTGAACAAAGAAGGTTACAAAGCCATACTACAAAATCATGTTGTGCCTTCTGAGGCTCGTCGTATTGATCCTGGGTTTGTTTTTCAGCATGATAATGACCCCAAACACACATCAAAGCTCTGTAAAAAAATTATGGAAGCAAAAGAAGTACAAAATATATTGAATGGCCTCCCCAATCCTCGAGTTTGAACCCGATACAATTGCTGTGGGACGAACTGGACAGACAAGTACAGAAATGTTGTCCTATATATCAAAAAGACTGATGGAGAATGTTACAAGACGAATGGCGAAAAATAACCCCATCCACTTTAGAAAAATTAATTGCGCGTTTACCCATCATCTGCTAGGCTGTAATCAAGAGCAAAGGATGACATATTGATGAGCCAAAAATACGATTATTTTGATTATAAATAGTTGTATGTTGTTAAGAATTAAAAAAATAAATGTTTCATACAGGTATTGTAGTTTTCTTTATTAACTTCCAACAGTTTCCTTGTTTTCTGGGTGTTCAAATGTCTGAATTTCTGTGTCTTTTTATCCAACACTCAAGGAATTTTGAACACGTTATCAAATAAATATACAGTTCTGCCGTGCAAAATTTTAATTTGTTTTTGCCGTGACTACAAATGAAACTTGTCACAGTAAGATAATTTGAACTGCCTAATTTTAATATGAGCATGAAAAAAATTCTGAACAACCGTGAGGTCGGATTTAGAGAGAATAAGCAGTCATTCTAAATGTATCTGGTTCCTTTTATGATATGCATCCTATTATTATGTGAAAAATTGCAAAATCTGAGACTTAAGATACGGCATACTTAGGTTGTTCGGGAACGTAAGTTCGAATGACCAAAAGAAATTCTTAAATGTAGTAGAACTGATTTTTGTGTAGGATTTAGCCGCCTAAGAAATGAATTTTCACACATCACAGTAATCACTGATCGAATTTGATGGTCATACCTAAAATTTGCACAGTTATAACGGAAGAAATACCGCACGCTAAACATGTCACAGCACTAAACTGGACGTGGACACACTGAAAATCGCCTGAAATGAAACCTGGCAAACATAATGTTTCTGAATGAAATACCAGTATAATTCACTCCTAAATCTTTATGATTGTTTAGAGTTTTGTTATGGTTTCAGAGCACGTTCGCACTTCGTAAACACGAGATATTTAAAGGGAAATGTTATTCAGATATAGCCGGGAAGCAA